AAGAAATGTTGCAAGCTGTGCGGGATTTATTAGACAAATAGCACATACATACAAGCTTGTAAGATTATCCCAGCCGGAAAAATTGGAATTTACTCTCAACAAAAACAACGGACAGCCTAACTATATGTATCCGGTTTTGTTGGTTGTTCCCCAATTATCGCTGTAAACGCCGTTTTTATACACTTTCTCTGTAACCTCTGATATTATCTGATTTGACGATTCGTTGCTTCCTCAAACTGCTTCAACTTATCGATGAAGCTATTTAAGTATGTTAGTAATTGAGTATATGGCTCAAATCGGCGAAAACGAAACCAAGGGGGAAAATTTTTTTATCATTTTTTTCTCCTTCTCTCAAACATGAAAATTCACTTAATCTTGAGACACCTTTAAATAAACGAAAATTAAAAAAGCACAACGTGAAACTAAGAGGTAATTTATCTTTAAGATCCACCACTCTCTTCGCTTGCCTTGTATTATTTCGAAGTTAATAAAAAAAATTACTCGACAAAACAATCAGCGATTAGCTTTCTATATGAAAATCAAGTCGGCAACATTTTTTAATGTAATGTAACAGTCCAATATATTAAAAAGTTTTTTAGTTTTTAGTTTTTTAGTTTTAGTTTAGTAGTTTTCTTCGAGCATTTTCGGCCTTATTTCACAGTAAAATAAAATAGTTCCATATATTCTTCATTACCAATATGTTTTCGGTGGAAAGCTATTTGTAACGTAACAGTCTTTTGAACTAATTTAATTTTTAGGTAACTTCTTTTTCCTATTTAGTTAAAAATGGGGCTCATTTTACAAGCAACATTGGAAGCTATTCAACGTGTTATTTTCCCATAGTTAAAAGTGTTATTTTTTCTAACTTATATAAACTGAGAAGATAAGAATTACGTAGAAAAATAAAAAACGCGAGAATTATATTACTTCAAAAAGGAACGAACTCAAAAGAAGCTGAAAGAAGAAGAAGATTTTCCGATTACATAATAAAAAATCTATTGGAATTATTTCGGCTATTTTTCTGGTACTACTATTATTCTACAAAATGCCGAGTCCTCGAATCTAACATTTGAAGGGTAAGAATAGTACAAATGGCATAGAGTAAAAACAAATAAGCCATTAAAGCCGTTTTTCGTGAAATTAACCGCGATAAACTCAACATCTTGGCGCAGTTCTAAGATCGAGTTCGAGTTCTACGCAGGAAATAACTTCGGAAACAACCTACAGCTGCACAGCATCAGAAACTTTGAAATCTGTATTCATAATTATCAGACGTGACGTCTTGGTGGAGCGGATAAGAAATCGAAAAAGTAGCAATATCATCGGCGATGATTTTCACAGAAATGTCGTGTCGAATTAGTAACTTCAGCAATAGCAAAATGCTGGCAGGGCTATTAAGGGGTTTCTTTTAAACAGGAACATCCTTGCAAACTTCGAAAAACTCAAAATCTTTTATTGAAAGGTCAAGTTTTGTATGAAATTAAAAAAACGGTTTGTTCGATAAAAAAAAAAATCCAGTTTGTTCGATATTCGAAAAAATAAGATTTCAAAAAAAAAATGCCTATAGATATCAAAAAAAAACCCGGTGGAAACCGATTTGAAAAAACCGAGCCAATCACCCTAGTACATGCATATGTACATGTGCTTTTTTCATGAGCACCTCGAGTTAAGGCTGCCATTGGCAATAGCATACAAGATTAATTGTTTATTTCAAAATATGTATGTACTATGTGTTAAATCATAACGAGTATGGCAGAATCGCTGATGTCTCTGTTAACCGGCATTTCTAAATATATGGCTTTGACCATGTGAAAAGAAAAGAAATCGACAAATCACGTATTTACTAGTAATTATGTATGTATATAAAAGGCATTGACATGCATTTGTAAGTAAAGTACTCCATAAAGTTAAAGGTTTACAAGTTATTCTTACAAAATATTGTATTTTTTTCACTCTTATTTCAACATATTTTGATTAAAAGAAAACAAACAACAACAAAAAATATAATCGATAATAGCGTAAGGGTATTGCCAGAAAATTTTAAAATGCACTTAGTGGCATTGTGCTACTATGATAGCACGACCGAGTAATCATAGTCAACTTATGTATTCTAGTAGTAGTAGTGTAATGGAATAAGCGATGGCTATTTTTTGCCAATGTGTAATAAGACGGCTTTCATGCTTCTAGTTTAAAGATCTATGAATAGTTGCTATTCATCAGGATCGCGCTTCATGCCCATATGTTTCATGAGCCCGTCGATGTTATTAGCATACATATGTGATACTTGCTTCTTCCACGAAAAATTTATGAAAATCGCGATCTCTTGAGCGAAAATGATGGATAAGTACTTCTTGATCCTATAAACTCTGCTGCCAATTTGGGTGCAGATAAATCCCTTACCAAATCGTTAGTGCTACTTGGTTCAAAAGTTGAGGATAAACGGGTTTATGCGCTTCTAGTCGATCGTGATAGGTGGAGTTTTGCAGATCTAGACATTCACAATCAGGTTCCATAGAGATTTTCTCCAGTGCAGACGCCTCCTGCCTACTGGACTGCCGGTTTGTACCGATGCGTATGATGGAAAGTTCATTGAACCCACTTTTGGATACTCCAATTGAGCCTTTTAACAATATTTTCTGTGTTCCTTTCTTACCAGGTTGAACATATCTGTGGTAATTATTTCAAACAATATGATTTCACTAAAAGCAGCTGATATTTTTCTTTGCCTTTCAAGTGTGTGTTGAGCACATACCTAGTAAAAACAATTAATTTATAAATCAAATTCGGATAATTTGGACAGTGAAAGCAAAGTGACTGAACTCAACGGCAGGGGGCACAATCTGTCAGACTAATTGGATTTTCAGGAATATGCGGTTTTTTCTTCAGAAAAACCACGCCCAAATCCAATTCTAAATTTTTTTAGAAATTTCTACGTTTTTTTTCTCAAAAACTGGATGTGCCATTTTGCATTGTTGTAATCGCATACTTTAAATTTTTATATCTCAGCGATGAATAGTTCGAATTGAAAAAAATAAAGAACGCTTTTAAAACTGAAGAAGTGCATTTTAAGAAAAAAATTTGGGCGTTAGATCAAAAAAAAAATTCTCGATAGTATATATGTTGTTGTTCAATTTATAATATGCCTCCGAGGACTAAGTGATTTTTATGTGAGAATTTTAATAGCGGTCCCCCAACCAGGCAATTGCAAAACCTCTAAATTTCTGGCATGAAAAAGTTCTAACAAAAAAACTTGTCAAACAGCTGAGCGCCTAATATTTATTACATTTTTATTATTTTTTTTGATGGCGAAATACACACGCAGATTGCCACTGCCTGGATTTTCTACCATTCATTCATACATATTGCTTGTGCCAGACATCAAACTGCAAATTTTATATTTTCTTCACAAATTTTCTGAAAACACTTACTAAGTATTGGAGTTCCTATTGGGTCATTATGCGAAATATCTATCAATAATATTTCACCTGAGGTGGAAAATTAATTTAATTCACCATGCTTAGTCAAGACACATGTTTTTATAGCAATCTCCACACTTTGATATAATAATTTTATAGGTTTACAAAATTTTCAACACATTGAGTGCATAAACCTTATTCTCACCACCTGATTTTCACCATTACAGCATATTCCACCGCAGCATTGCTGGCCATTGTATTTGCCATACCCTTTGGTATGCGTATGTTGGTACACAAGGATCGTGGACGTTGGGAAGAATTTGGGCCAGCATTCTACACAGCACATCTGGAACTCTTTTTGGGCAACGGTTGTTTAGGTGGGACCTAACTTTTACGATAAAGTTAGAAAAAATTATTTAAAGTTGATTACCATTTCCAGGTGTGGGCGTAATGATGCTACTGGTGCTAACAATCGAACGTTACGTTTCGGTGTGCCATCCGGGGTTTTCACGGCCCGTTATGGGACCACCAGGGTAAGTTAAAACTTAGTTTTGTTTGCAAAAACCATGAACAGCATTTATTTTTTTCTAGTATTGTTGTATTCCTAACCACTTTGGTAACATTCATCATTTACACGCCAAGCGTGTTTCGAGGTGTGCTCGTCAAATGTATATTACAAACAGATGGCAACTATGTTTACTTCCGACGTGATAACAATGAATTCCTAAAGACCCTATTTTATTCGGTAAGTCAACTTATATTCGGGAAGTTTTGTTTGTATGTAGAATTTTTTTTTTCTAAATAAACGCCTGCAACACATTTTTACTTGCAGGTATATAAAGTAATGCTTGAAGTGATATTCAAACTAATACCAACTGTGCTAATTGCCGGCTTGAATATGCGTATTATGTTGGTTTATCGAAAGACTTGTCAACGTAGGCGTGAAATGCTTATATCGCGCTCTCACTGCATGCGAGATGAGGATCCAAGAAAATTCGCCGAGGAACGACGACTATTCTTGTTGCTAGGTAAATCATCGACGTTTCAAAACTTTTACGAAGTTTAGATATTTTCAAGGGGTTATTCAAATTAGTCTGGAATTTTGTGAGAGCTTACACTTTCGTTAATTGTGCTTAAAGCCGCGAAAGCCCCTTGTTGCATGCTTGCGAAGTTTTCTAAAGCTTTCAATAGATTTTTTATAGAAACTTGCAAGATAAAAGCTCGCTCCGTCAATCACTATTAGTTTTCCAACCCTTTTTTCATCCTCAACGTTCTTATTTTCACAAAATTTTTTCCTTTTTTTCTGCTTTCAGGCAGCACATCGATTTTGTTCCTTGTTTGTGTTTCTCCTATGGCTATTGTACATATGACTATTGCCTCTGAAGTGCTGCCGAGCTTTTCTTTTCAGGTAGGTGTTAAACAATTGCAACTACATATGTACATCTATGTATTTATTTATGTTGGATCATTAACAAAATTT